TAAAATAGTTTTTTAAATAACATATTTAGTAAGATAAAAATATAAATTATTTTTACTATGAATATAAATTTAAGTACTAAAAGATAAAAAAAATATAATTAGAGAATTAAGTATTTTTTCATAAGATAAGAAGATTTTTCTTTTTTTTTTTGGTTTTTTGGTTTTTTGGTAGAAGATAAGAAGATTTTTGCTAAAGATAAAGTGAAATTGAAATAAACGTCAAAGAGATATAAGATTGGGAGAATTGAAATATAATAAATAAAAGGTTAAATGCTAAATTTGGTCCCTCAACTTTGGTGAGTTGCACATTTTTGGTCCCTCAATAATTTTTTGCACTTTTTTGATCCCTCAACTATACAAAATGCACTTTGTTAATCCTTCTGTCAATTTGGGCCGTTAACTCGACCACATGACATTTTATATATATATTTTTATTACATAGCGAGAACAACTTAAAAAGGTGCTGATCTGGACTTTTTCTTATGACATGTCATCTTCCCGCGGATCCCACATTACCTGCAAACCGATCTCTCATCTTCACTCTCTGCAAAATCAATCTAACTCATATCTTCTTATTCTCTAAATGCTCTCTCATCTCCACTCCATCTGCAAAATCGATCTTAACCCATTTCTTCTTCTTCTCTGAATGCTCTCTCATCTCCACTCCATCTACAAAACTGATCTTAACCCATTTCTTCTTCTTCTCTTTTCTCGGGGGAACTTGAGCTACTGGGTTTCATTGAACCCTCAAACCTGGATCTTATCAAATCAAATTAACCCTTCAATAAACAATACCAATCAAACTCTAATCAAATTCCAACAAAAATACAATCAAACTTTAATTAAATTCCAACAAAAATGCAATCGAATTGTAAATCAACTCCCAAATTTATTAACAATTGGGAATGGAAATCGAAAGAAAAATGAAAAAGCATGAACCTAACATTGAAACAGCAAGGCTGGTTTGCGTTACCAGCAAGGCTGGGTTCATCGGAACCCAGCCGATCTGGGTTTCGACGAACCCAGATAAGCTGGGTTTCAACGAACCCAAATAAGCTGGGTTTCAACGAACCCAGATAGGCTAGGTTTCGACAAAACTAGCAAGGTTGGTTCGCGCGACCAGCAAGGCAGGGTTCATCAAAACCCAGCCGATCTGGGTTTCGACGAACCCAGCCTTCGACAAAATCAGGCTGGTCGCGCGAACCAGCCAAGGTTAGGTTCTGGTTGCACAAACTAGCCAAGGCTGGGTTTGTTGAAACCCAACCTTGCTGGGTTGGTCGACCAGCCAAGGCTGGGTTCATCGGAACCCAGCCTTGCTGGGTTTCAACGAACCCAACAAGGAACCCAACCTTGGCTGGTCGATGAACCCAGCCTATCCCAGGGTAGGAAAGAAAGAAAGAAAGAGAAAGAAAGAAGGGGAAGAAAAGGGATTGGGAGGGTGAGGGTAATAAGGTAATCTTATTTGTTTTTAATTAAAATATACATATTAATCTATGTGGCATTTTTATTTATTTATATAACATAATTATAATATATATTATTGCCACATCATCAAAAAAATTAAAAGACAATGCCACATGAAATTATTTAACTGCCACATCATACTTAACTGACGAAGGGATTAAAACTGTGCAATTTTTAAAGTCAAGGGATCAAAAAAATGTAAAAAATTGTCAAAGGATAAAAAATGTGCATTTAGTAAAGTTGAGGGACTAAATTTAGCATTTAACCTAAATAAAACTCAAATTAACATAAAAGATAATCGATGATTTATTAAATTATGCGGAAAACTGGCCCATATTCTTCTTCGATTGTTGCACCACCTTCACTCTACCTCTTCTAAGCTCTTTCTCAGAGTTGGCAATGACGGATTCAAAATCTCCGTCGGCAGCAATGAAGCATCATTCACCGACGGAAGCAGAAGCCAAGGCAATCTCTTCACTGCACACCACAAGGAGAACGATGGTGTTTGCTTATGGCGTCACATTTGCTTTTGTTGCTTGTACGGCTTTCTTGGTGCTAAACCCATCTTCCAATTCCTCTCCTTGGATAAAAAACTTCCTAGAGTCGTGTTCTTCCAGTTCCCGGTTTTCCTTTCTTTTCTCTTCTTTTGTTTCCAATTCTTCCCAAACCAATGGCAACTCACTTCCTTTCACTCAGCCACCGGCCGTCCCTTTCCGGGTTTTTTGGAAAAGTAGCGGATTTTGTGACAAAAATGGGTCTTTCTCCAGTGATGGAGAAGGTGGAGCGTCGGAGGATGGTCGGGTATTCAATCAAACGGGTACTTCACTCTTCATCCGACTGTTTCTTTCTATCAAGAATCTAATCGCACATAAAAAATGTTCTGTAATTCAATTTTCCAGAAGCCCATTAAAGAATGAGAGTTGGGATGGTAATATAACAAGAGATCCAGGTGGTTCTCAGTCTTTCTCAGATAATGCTGGTGATTACCAATTTGTCTTAGAGGGAGAAGATGGAAAGGAATCAAAGGATGCATTGGATTTGGAAATGAATGTGACAGGGGAAGGGGTTTTAGATAAGGGGCGAGAGACTAGTGATGTGACACTGGAATCAAATGAAATGGATGGATTTAGAAGAAGTGATGACATTTTTAGTAAGCATAGAAAGGGAGATCTGATGGATATAGGCTTGACGAGTCATTGTAACATATTTGATGGGAAGTGGGTGTGGGATGATTCTTATCCAACTTATGCAGCAGGGTCTTGTCCTCATGTTGATGAGCCTTTCAGTTGTTATCTTAATGGCAGACCTGACAGGGCCTATGAGAAGTATAGATGGCAACCCCACGATTGCAATATACCTAGGCAACTTGCTCAATTTGTCACTTAATATATGTATGTAAATGAATTATGCTGATATTTTTAATCACAAACTTTATTGCTACTGAGGTAGTACATTTTGTTTGGGGTTTAGGTTTCTGATTTTGTTGACTAGTGTAGGAGTAATTATTTTGTTGCTAATCAGTTTTGCAAGCGAAAATGAAATGCTTGCGAAAGTTATGGCTCACTCACACCAAAGGATTAGTGTTAAAAATTTGTTTGCAAGCACATTGTATGCAGAAACTTTGATGATTGTTTACTGTATCTCTGTATTGATTTTCTTTTTGGTCTAAATTTCACATTCAGTACATTTTTTTTTTAATGAAATTAGAGTTCCTTGATTGTTATGTGTGCTTTTTGTAGACTCTGGTTAGGCTATTAGAGTAACTCCAGAACCATAAAATAGGTATGAATAGTGGCAGAATTCAGAATATTATCATGAAAGGGGCAAATATAATGCTTCTGGCCACTTTCACTTAAGAAAGTTGTAATGAATTTTTTTCCTAACTTGTCGTAGAGAGAGCGGCCAATTTAGTAGATCAATAGCAAAATAGCCTTAATTTAGTAGATCAATAGCAAAATAGCCTTAACTTCCTGACCTCTGTATTACAACATGTACAGACCTTCCAATGAAGTATTTATTTAATCTGAACAGGTCCCATTGGTCCTTAATAATTTGTTGATAGCCTTCAGCATTTACAGCATTTAGTGGCTTAGCCACTAAATGCTGTAATCGAGTGTTTCTCTTTGTTTTCTTGCTTAGACGCTATCACACTGAGAGGGTGATATGAAAGTTTTAAGCTTTATGACCTTTGATAGTAATGATTTTATGGGATGTTCTTTGGACTGTTCCTCTGTCCCTGATCTTTTAACAATTATGTGTTGTCAAAATAACAAACATGGTTTATCTTTCCATTTTTTCTTCTTTGGTGCCATCTTTCCCTATACATATTTGATGTTGTTAAGTTAGCCTGATTCGGTGGTTGTGTCTTTTGTTGTGCAGAGTTGTTGGCCGTAAAACTGTAGAAAGTTGCTGAAACCTCATTGCTTGAATATCAAATGTTTTATTAGTATATAGAGGAGGCTTAGGTTTTCGAAGCTTTCATAATTGGAATCAGATAGGGATTTGAGGAAGCAAAAGCAATTAGTATGATTGAACTGCTCATGAACTTGCTTTTATGCTTTGTTTGTTGAATGGTGGGTTAACTTTTAAGACATTATTACGACTTATAAAAATGGTTTTCCTTTTTTGGCTAGATTAAGTCCATGTGTAAAAGTAGAATTTGGATCAGGAAAAATAAATAGCAGTGTGGTAGCTCCCACTGTTTTTTATTTACTTTCCTTTAGAAGAATTCAGTGCACATTTGACATTACTAAGTTCTACAATCCAATATCTTTTAGAAAAAATACGTACTTGCAGGAGAAATAAGGAATCTGGAGAAAATTCCAACTTATGGTGGTTACCAAGTTGTCTTTATATACATAGTCTACTTACAATAAAAATAAAGTATTTGAATTCTTTCTTGACTTGTGACCACGAGTTGTCCATTCATTGCATCATTTTTAATTCTTTTATGTTCCCTGTTGACCTTGTTCAATCTATGTGTTCTATTGCAGCTATTTATATACACAAGCAGAAAGGTCCTGAAACTCAAATAGCAGAACCAAAGGGTAAAATTTGGACCATTTTTCCCTGACAGTTTTCTTTTTTGTTCAGCTGTATTAATCTTGAATTTGTTCTTATCACTCTAAATGAATATGATGGATTTGGGTAAACTTAAATTTCATTTTTCTTTTAGGTTTTTGATTTAAGGATCTCTTGCTCATAAATCAAAGGTCAGGTCATGTTTTCTGTTGCATGGATGCTACCAAGAAAGGAAACTAAAATTTCCAAAGTTGATTAATTCAATTCTGTCTTAATTACTCCCTCTGTTCCAATTTATTTGACGTTTTAGAGATGTGCAAGAGAATTTAGAAAAATAATTAATTACTCTTGAATTAAGAGATTTTTAAGTTTAAAATATCATTATGCCCTTGAGTCTAAAAAAAGAGATTGGATAGTTGAAGAGGGGAGAGGAATCAGTAAAAAAACACCAATGAGAGTAAATTAGGAAAAAAGAAATTAATGCAATCTTGATAATTTATTTGACGTTTTAGAGATGTGCATGAGAATTAAGAAAAATAATTAATTACTCTTGAATTAAGAGATTTTTAAGTTTAAAATACCATTATACCCTCGAGTCTAAAAAAAGAGATTGGATAGTTGAAGAGGGGAGAGGAATCAGTAAAAAAACACCAATGAGAGTAAACTAGGAAAAAAGAAATTAATGCAATCTTGATATGCTAAAATGTCAATTATTTGGGAACAATTTTTCTCTCCGAAACGACTAATATTGTGAAGTAGAGGGAGTGACTTGTGTTTTTCTAGCTTGAGAGAGACGATAGCAGGTAAGTCAACAAGTGAGTGGTCTTCCATTTCCTTTAAGTTGACTTGAGCGTGTTCCACACTCCCAGTGGTTTTTAATGTTGAATTCTGAGATCAAACCATCTGGCCCAGGGTACCTTTTAGTTAAAATTTTCCAAACAGGCATCTTCCTTAGCTTTATAGCTTTTCTTATGCTAAACACGTAAAATATAGGAATTATAGGGTTCCAAATAAGTAGTTTTTTTTAACACAATCATTGTCCAAATAATTACCTTCAGCCATAATTTCAACATGACCATTTCATACAATCATGTTGCATTACTTCTCTGAATATAAGAGAGTAAATCACCTTGGGCGATTGTTTTAAGTTTCAATAAGCTTCTTCACACTTCGAGGACTCAACTTCTCTACTCTGTCTTGCTGGTGCAATGATAATAACAAATAACAAATCGAAGTCTGTTTGTGTGGTTTGCATCTTCTATTGTAAGAAAAGCTAGCTGCAGCTTGCTATGAAACTAGATATTACTACAATCTGAATTCTGATTTATTTGTACTAAATTATGATTTATGTATATTTTATTATATCATTTTAGTGTTTTGCTTGTTTGATTTCAGCATCTAGTTTGTAAGGAATGAAGAACAAGCTAGCTGCAACAGAAATAAGACTGAAATCTGAATTCTGCAAGTTTAATGCTCTTATTCCTATCAACATGTTTAATTGATAGAATGGTTATTCCTTTATCAAATTATAAAAAATGAGATAAATTAGATAGAAATCATGATAGTAATTTCTCCCCTTTTTTATTTTTTTATTTTTTTAAGGTTTTGGATTTAAGAGGCTCATGCTTATAAGTAAAATCAAAGGTCAGTCTTCTTTTCTCTGTTGCATTCTCAATAACTTTACTAGGATCCTTGCAGGAAACAAGATTGCCAAAGTTGGTTAGACTTGTGTTTCCATGAGGAACCAGAGTAGGTAATTAAGTTAACAAGTCAATGGTATTCCATTTCTTTTTGAGACACATTGCACCTTTTTACCTTTAATTTATATGAAAAATTGTAAAAATAAATTTTATTTTCAATACTAATGTCACGTAGAGTATTTAATTGGACGATTGATAAAATTAAAATTAAATTTTTTTTATATAAATTAATAATGAAAATGTATAATAAATGTACCCTTAACCTGTACCTAAAAGTACATATTAGAAAAATCCTTGTTTCTTTGATGTTCCCTATAGTTATAGGTAAGTAGAACAGAATGGTTTTGAGAATTGCGTAGACACCAGGACAAAATATTAAGTTTCCTTGGCACAGTCTCCAGTTTGGTTGAGCTTCATCTTCATTTTGTTCTTATTGCTTTTAAAAATGATGGTTTTGGGTATAGGGTCCTTCTAATTAATTATCACAAAAATTTCAAGTAAAAGATCACATAAATTATTCTTCACAATGACATTATTTTGGGCAACGTTGTTATGGTCTGTTTGGGTGATTGTGACTTTTGTTGTACAGAGTTGGTTGCTGTAAAATTGTACAAAGTTGCTGAAACTTAATTGCTATTATATCAAATGTTTTATTAGTATTTAGAGGGAGCTTCAGTTTCCAAAACTTTATAATTAGAAATTAGACAAGGGTTGTAGGAAGCCAAAGCATTTAGTATGATTGCCTTTCACTTCAACTATTCTGCTTAAGATAGTGTTACAACATCAATAGAGATTGTGTTTATTAAGTTTAAGAGTAGATTGAAAGGTAAATTAATAGGTTGTGATATAAAATGACATTTAGAAGAGATTTTTGTAAGGATTTTAAAATCGACTTATAGTGAATTAATAGCTTTAGAATGTTGTTTATGCCAAACATATGGAATAAAAAACTTAAAATTGTAGGGTGTGTTGAATCATATCACAAATAATTTACTCAAGATTTCAACTTAATCATTTCATGTAAATCATGTTGCCTACTGGAATCTTCCTTTAATCTTCTCCTTCTACGTACAGTAAATTAATATTCTTTGATGTGCCCTTCTACAATCTTAAATGTGTTTTCTTGAAGCTATATATAAGTAGCTAGAATGGTTTTGACTTTTGAGAACCGATCAAGCATATTACCTTTTTGCTGCTTTCATCCCATACTCCATTTCTGAATATTTTTCATTTCTATGCAACCACAGGGTCCAAAATGTAGCTAGCAAAATACCTGCTCTTATCATCTTATCATCTAATTTCTGACATGTGTCCATATTTCCCTGACAAAACACCTGCTCTTCTCATCTAATTTCTGACGTGTTCATATTTCCCCGACAAAATACCTGCTCTTATCATCTAATTTCTGACATGTTTACCATATTTCCCTGACACACTCTTCATTTTGGTTCGCCTTCATCTTTGATTTCAATCTCAATCAATTTCAAAATGAAGATTCTGCATGGAGGGCCTCTTCAACTTATCTATGCATTTCTGATTTTACTGCATATGCAATCTTCAATTGGAATCAGTTCAATTGCTGGTGATGAAGTTAGGTGCATAGAGAGCGAAAGACAAGCGCTTTTGGCATTTAAGCAAGGTCTGGTTGACGAATATGGCTGGCTTTCCTCGTGGGGCAGTGAAGAAGAGAGAAAGGATTGTTGCAAATGGGAAGGAGTTCAATGTAGCAACACAACTGGGCACATCATTGTGCTTGATCTAACTACAGTGCATGAGCATGGTTATTATCTTCACTTGAGAGGTAACCTTAGTCCTTCCCTATTTGAGTTGCAACATTTAACTTATTTAAGCCTCGCTGGAAATGATTTCAACTTTAACCGCATTCCGGAGTCTATCGGCTCACTCAACAAAATACAACATCTTGATCTCAGTTATTGTAATTTAAGTGGATCTCTTCCTAGCCAGCTTGCAAACCTCACAAGTTTGCAATATCTTGATCTTGGCTTTAATAATTTCAACAATATCAAAAATTTTGATTGGCTCTCTTATCTGTCTTCTTTGAAACACATTGCCTTGATGGAAAATGACCTTGGAAAGGTAAATAACTGGCAGCAGGTGATTAATAAACTCCCTCATCTAACTTACCTGTCTCTAAGGGGATGTAATCTTCAAGATGTCATTCCTCAGTCCATCCCCATGATCAATACTTCTACTTTTCTCACTGAGCTTGATCTAGGTTACAACAATTTGACTGCCTCCACATTCCACTGGTTGTTCAAATTCAGCAAGAGCCTTGTTTATGTCAACTTGTTTAATAATCAGTTTCAAGGTTTGACTCCAGAAAATTTTGGTCACATGACTTATCTAGAAACCCTAGAGCTCTCTTACAACCAATTTGAAGGAGGGATTCCAAAATCCTTTGGAAACTTGTGCAAATTAAGGCACCTATGCCTATCTTATAACAATCTTAACGGAATGCTTCCTGAACTAATTGGTAACTTATCTGGATGTCCACAACTCTCCTTGGAAGAATTGACAATGGGTGAAAATAAAATTAAGGGACCGTTGCCTGATATGGTAAAAAACTTCTCGTCCCTGCGATGGTTGTCTCTTTACAACAATGAACTAAGTGGTACTATACCCAAAAGTATTGGACTCCTGTCAAAACTTGAGGGTTTAGCAATTACTTCCAACTTTTTGAATGGGATGATCACTGAATCACACTTTTCTACACTATCTAAGTTGCGAAAGTTGAAAATGTCTTCTAATTCTTTGAGCATCAACTTTAGCAATGATTGGATTCCTCCATTCCAATTGGATTTTATAACTCTGTCATGCAAGCTGAGCCCAAAGTTTCCAAGCTGGCTAAAGTCCCAGAGAAATTTTTCTTATCTTGATATCTCTGGAAGTGGGATTTCGGATAGCATCCCACAGTGGTTTTGGAACCTATCTTTTAGAGTAGTTCATGTTAATCTTTCTTCCAATCATCTCTATGGAGTTTTGCCAAATTTGTCAACTACAAAATTTGCTGATTCTTTTAGCCTTGGGATAGATTTGAGTAAAAATAAGTTGGAGGGTCTATTACCAGTATTCCCTGTTAATGTAACATCCATAAACCTATCGGAAAATAGGTTCTTTGGGTCAATTTCTTCTCTTTGCACCATAACTGGTGGGAAACTTGAGTTCGTTGATATTTCGCACAATCAACTATCTGGAAAGCTTCCTGATTGCATGATGCAATGGACAAGTCTAGTGATTTTGAATTTGGCTAATAATCATTTATTTGGGAAAATTCCAAGCTCTATTGGATCTTTGTATCGTCTTGAATCGTTGGGTTTGCAAAACAACAATTTCTGTGGAGAAATAACTTGGTCCCTAGGAAATTGCAGTGCCTTGCAATTTTTGGACTTGAATTATAATAGCTTCTTTGGGAAAATACCAACTTGGATTGGAGAAAGGCTAAGTTCACTAATTTTCCTTCTTCTGAGATCCAATAATTTAAGTGGAGACATCCCCTTGAAGCTATGCTGGTTGACAAATATTATGTTGCTAGACCTCTCCAACAACAATCTATCTGGAAACATACCATGGTGCATCCAGAATCTAACTACATTAGCTCAACAGGAGAGTTCAGCCTTTGATCATTTTTTTACAGATTCACAGATTGATGCTAATCACTGGAAGTCAGGAAGGTATGCTGACAAAGCATCTGTAATGTGGAAAGGAATGGAGCGTGATTATGGGAATGGAAATCTCAAGAATCTGAGGATTATTGATCTTTCAAGCAACAAATTAACAGGAGAGATTCCTGTGCAGATATCAGTTCTCTTGGAACTGGTTGAATTGAACTTATCAAGAAATCAGTTGACAGGATGGATTCCTCCGAACATTGGGCAGCTGAGAAACTTAGAATCACTTGACTTGTCATGGAACCAGCTTTCAGGTCAGCTTCCTTGGAGCATGTCCCAATTATATTTTCTCGGCACCTTGAACCTGTCATATAACAACTTTTCTGGGAGAATCCCTTTGGGAAGCCAAATGCAGACATTTGATGCTTCTTCATTTCTCGGTAATCCTACACTTTGTGGGCTTCCTCTAACACCAACTTGCCCGGGTGATGAAACATCAGAGAGCAAACCAAAAACCAGACACATAGCTGAATTCTGGAAACCGTTTAAACCGGGTATGGAACTTGGAGCTGCCATTGGCTTTGTGGGAGTTCTGGCTGTGAAGTTAGATCATCCATTGAAACATCTTTGTTTCCTGTTGTTCAACAACATGAGGGTCCACCTCAGCAACTTGAAGGACTGCCTTTGTTTACTTGTAGCAGTAGTTGGTTTGCTGGTGAGAGAGCATGTATGCAGATTGGGAAAAAAGTTGAAGTTGTTCGAACCATCAGTCTCTTCCTAGAAGCCGGTAAAGGTCAATACACGTTTATTCTAATCTTGGATGGCATCTCCATAACTTGATTATAAAAAGAAAAAGAATAACAGAGCAAATAACCTCTTATTTGTTGTTTTTCAGGTTCAAGATGTTTCATGTTGCAAAGTGAACTTCCAGGATATCTTCCCCTCTTTCCGCATCAATAAGTCCAAGCTGAGCAGGGGAATGTTTCTTCCTTTATTTATAACTGTGTCTGGGTTGTAAGGTCTGTTTAAATTAAATGGTTTGCGCCTTTTTTTACTTTTTTAATCGTCTATTTTGTAATAATTTGCTTGAAACTTATATATAATAATAATATGGATTTGTATTCTGTAATTTAACCAAATCTGTAATCTGGAGAGAAACAGAGACTCAGAAAGTTCGTATGTAAACCCTAATTTATAGTTTTTATGTTAATTTTAAAATATTATCTTTAATTAATCAAATGGTCAAGAGATGTAGGGCAGGATTAAAAACATCCAGGCGACCCTCACCCACTTCCTCTGTTCCCTTGCCCAAATGAACCTTTTCGTATCTCTTCACAAAATTTCCGGGAATGGTCAAGAGATGTAGGGCCAGAGATACGCGTCGCCAGTGAAGCAGGTCGTTTCTAGTTCTCAATTCCCCTGTTTCTTCATCCCAAAAATTCCAATCGGGTATCACTAAACTAAACAGATGGTCTGTTCTGTTTTCTGCGAATAATTTCAATAAACTCGTGGGCTTTTCAACTCATCTTCGGGTTTTTGAGTTAAAATGGCCGCTGGGTTCGCATCAAAGGTAAGCTCTTGTTATGTCTGAGTAGTGGGTATGTGCTGCTCTTATTTATTTCCAGTTTAATATTTCAATGGAAACAACAATGCAAGCAAATCACTTCAAGTGAATTGCGTAATTAGAAAATAATAATGAATTATTTGCTTGTTCCTTTAATCTTTAGGCCCTGTTTGGATAGAAAATAGAAAAGGTAGGGGAAGGGAGGGGAATGGAGGAAAATAAAAGGAAATGAAGGGGAAGGAAAAGAAAGGGAAGGGCAGAAAATAAAAAGAAATGATTTGTGTTAATTTTGTTTGGATAAATAAAAATGAGGAGGGGGGAGGAAAGGGAATGATTGTATTATTTTATGTTTGGATAATTAAGATAAAAGGAAGGAAAAGAAGGGAAGGATTTAAATTAATTTTAAATTTACAAATTTACTCTTTAAGCTTGTAATGGAGTTGCCTATTCATTTTTACTTGCTGTGATTTGTTCAATTCAATAAATCACTCCATTATCCACCGAAACCAACCACAAAAGAAGCGCAGTACTTTACCATATCTTTTTTTGGGTCATAATATGAGTTTGGATTAAAAAACTGATAAATGCAAATTAAAGGAAGAAAATTATTGATTAAGGTTTTAAATCCCATCAATTGTCATCTACCACTAATAAGTAGTTTGGTGGATCATTGCTTTGAAGGAAGATACCTGAATATAATATTTAGATATTATGTGTTAAAGTGGCACTTGCAAGAGCATTGAAAGATGATTTTGCAAAAATTCTGCTTTCACGGACAGTGAACACGTAATATAAAAATTACTTAACAATTGTTTCAAAAATTAAATTTCTGCTTTGGTAAGTTGCTTCACTGGCAAGAGCAGAACCTTAAATTTTGCTCCGGCCAGTGAAGCAACCGAAGGCCATTATGAAACAAAAAAAGACATGGCAGCAGGGTCATGACAGAAAATAAAAATAATAAGTGGAGAAAACTGGTATTGACATGTATTCTTACTGGTTTATGGCCTCTGTTGAATCCTCTGGTTTTGGTGCTGTTGCCGGCAAGAAGGAGAAGGAGAGTTTTGGTGCTGTTGCCACAAGAAGGAGAAGGATATAATAAAAAAATTAAGGTTAATTTTGTAATTACATTTAATTTAATCTAAACAGTCACGCAAATCCCTCCCAAACTCCTCAAATCGGGCGGATTGCAAATCTGCAGATTTGAGGGTGGTAGAAGGGAGTCCGAATCAGTCCATCTCCCTCCCCCTCTGCCTCTTTGGAAACCCAAACAGGAGGAAGGAGACAGCCCCCCTCACTCCCCCTCCCTTGCCATCCGTCCCCATCCCTTCCCCTCCCTCTCCGTCCGACACCTCCAATCCAAGCAATACCTTAGAGAATCTAATTACTAAAGCGGATAATCCAGTAGCTGCCATGCTTTTTTGGTCTCCCATTTCTTATGCACACAGCAACCATTTTTGGTGCTAGGTGTAGCAGTCATGCCGTAACAAGTGC